CTTGGAATTTTTGGGACAAACGTAGCATAAACATGTAAACAATATGTTGAATGTCGATGAAGAAATCCTAACAAAATGCAAATGAAATATTTTATTGTTGTGGACTTTATATATATTTAGAGAAGGAATGAAAACGATATCAGTTTATAGCTATTGTTGATTGTATGTACATGTGTCAATTGTATCGTATTGTACATCTAAATGCAATACACATGCCTCCGATGACAAACACATTTTATAAAAAAATTTGATTAAGATTGGCATGTTTTTTTTTATTATCCGCAACGCCATGTTGTCCTAGTCAGACGACCAAACACGCCTCTAATTTTTAAGAGTTCATTAATGGAAACCAAACGTATTGATAGGCATTCATTTTCATAGCACATATTGCTGGGAGTTACTTTGTCTACCCGATCATTACATACAGCTTACAGGGCGAGAGTGATCAAGTGCATTCTTCCTACAAACATGATCCTATCCTTGGGATTTCCAAGGGTCAGTGTTTGATGTTCTCTTCAACTTCGTTCTGTTTGAAGATTTTCTTAGATCGAGTTCTGTTCTTTTCCTCACCTATATTGCACCATAATTTAAAATCTGATAAAAAAAAAGATGGTAAAGAGGTTTGTAACTCTTTGTTTTACTGAAGTATTGTGTAAATGATTCATATATATTAATAGAATGTCTAATTTTTTAAAATTTATAATCACTTTTTGTCTGAATTTTATATATATTTTAAAAATTGAACTTATTTATGTAGTATTTTGGGAGGAAAAAAAATCAATTTCTTTAAATCTTATTCCTGTAAAAAAAAAAAAGCAATAGAGCATTTATTGACTAAATCTGTAAATGATTACATTTTAATTAAATTCATCTATAACGGTAATTGTTTAAAGATGCACAAGTATTTTAATTTGTATAAGTACTATTAGTAACATAGTGTTATAGTGAAAATAATTGCATTTTACTAACCAAGTGCCATCCCCAAATTCACCTGTCACTTTAAAAACTGAGTAACGAATTTACACCATTGATTAAATATTGTTGTACATGTATTGTCTTTGGTTTGTAGAACTGTTTTTTTGAATATGGCCGGGGTATATAGTGATTGTCATGTCCGTCTTCCTTCCTTCTGTCCTTCCGTCTGTCGTTCCTTCACACTTTGCGTTTAGCTCATTTCAAAGATTAGTTTCAAAGAAACTATCCAAGATAATTTTATCAAATTTCATAAGCTGATAGATAATGATGAAGGCTATGCAATTGCTTCAACATCTTTTTACCTTGACCTTTCCTTTGACCTTGACCTCACTTTTCTTAAATTAGTGTTTTGCTCAGTTTTAAGCATATCATTCAAGACGGTGTTATCAAACTTCACATGTTGATACATACTGGTGAGAGCAATTCAACTGTATCAAAATTTTTGAACTTGAACTTTCCTTTGACCTTAACCTCACTTTTTAGACGGGTCACGTGACCCCGTCTATTAGTTTACTGTCATAGGCCTCAAAACGGAAGCGTGGTGATAACACATAGATTAAATCTACGCTATATGATTTTCTTAGATCGAGTTCTGTTCTTTTCCTCACCTATATTGCACCATAATTTAAAATCTGATAAAAAAAAAAGATGGCTAAAGAGGTTTGTAACTCTTTGTTTTACTGAAGTATTGTGTAAATGATTCATATATATTAATAGAATGTCTAATTTTTTAAAATTTATAATCACTTTTTGTCTGAATTTTATATATATTTTCAAAAATGAACTTATTTATGTAGTATTTTGGGAGGAAAAAAATCAATTTCTTTAAATTTTATTCCTGTTAAAAAAAAAAGCAATAGAGCATTTATTGACTAAATCTGTAAATGATTACATTTTAATTAAATTCATCTATAACGGTAATTGTTTAAAGATGCACAAGTATTTTAATTTGTATAAGTACTATTAGTAACATAGTGTTATAGTGAAAATAATTGCATTTTACTAACCAAGTGCCATCCCCAAATTCACCAGTCACTTTAAAAACTGAGTAACGAATTTACACCACTGATTAAATATTGTTGTACATGTATTGTCTTTGGTTTGTAGAACTGTTTTTTTGAATATGGCCGGGGTATATAGTGATTGTCAGGTCCGTCTTCCGTCCTTCTGTCCTTCCTTCTGTCGTTCCTTCACACTTTGCGTTTAGCTCTTTTCAAAGATTAGTTTCAAAGAAACTATCCAAGATAATTTTATCAAATTTCATAAGCTGATAGATAATGATGAAGGCTATGCAATTGCTTCAACATCTTTTTACCTTGACCTTTCCTTTGACCTTGACCTCACTTTTCTTAAATTAGTGTTTTGCTCAGTTTTAAGCATATCATTCAAGACGGTGTTATCAAACTTCACATGTTGATACATACTGGTGAGAGCTATACAACTGTATCAAAATTTTTGAACTTGAACTTTCCTTTGACCTTAACCTCACTTTTTAGACGGGTCACGTGACCCCGTCTATTAGTTTACTGTCATAGGCCTCAAAACGGAAGCGTGGTGATAACACATAGATTAAATCTACGCTATATGAAAGAGTGCAGAAATTGATTTGATCAAAATATAAACTTTCTGTATCAAACTGAAAAAAGTAATATGAACTTTTTTCTAACTCAAACTAATAAAGCATTTTGAAAATTTAAAAATGAAAATATTAATTTTAAATCACACTAGGAAACAAAGTACTCTCTTGCGTATTATTACGCCTGCGTACACATTGTTTACTTCCGGAAAAATATTGATTCGTATACCCGATGAAATTCGGACAGTTCAAAAAGGTTTACAGACAGAGCAATTACTGAAATTTCTACTTCAAATTAAATGAAAAACGTGAATTTTTATTATTTTACAGTTTTGTTTTAGTATGGTAATACAAAATTAAGTTGTTATCAAAACTCGTTTAAAATATCACATTTGTGAAATCTAGCATGAAGATTATTTTGACCCCGTCTTTCAGTACTGTCTCGGTACTTTGATTTAAGGGGGCCGACTATAGTTTTATTGTGTGAAAACTACAATAGCGAAACTCTTCATTTTAATACCATATATAACTTACCTTAACTTCAGTGTACTTGCAAATTTGGGGGAAATCTACCGTCCAGGTATTTTTGAGGGACCGTCTCAAAATACAGGTAAATTTACAATAAGATTATATAGGAAAATGCCAATTTTTAGCACTTTAAAGCAAATTATACAAATACTACAATAGACATTTTGTTCAAACTATAATATTTGATGAGTAATACTTTATTATACAATATATGTAAGAAACACAAAATTCTACCGTCTTGTTACCAGAGGGGGCATCTCAAAATGCAAAAAATTAGCAAATTTTGCTATTTTTATAGAGTATTACAAAATATGACGTACATAATGGATTCACATGAAAACATAATTAAAATATTGGAGATATTCTCAAATTTCTATGTTTTAAATTTCAAGAGCGTGTGTTTATTATTTTTTCTTTAATAATATTTTTATGACCCTTTTCTTGAAAAGCTACAGATTATCATAACGTCAAAAACATATTGCAACGACGTCAACCTACCTATCAATTGCAAAATCGGTTAAAAAATCAATTATATCAAATTGTAATTACATTTTTATACCTATAATTTCTTAATTTTGCTTAATTTTATTAATTAAGCGAAAAAAGTTGCATAAATACGCTTCATTTTACTATGGTGCGCAAAATATTGCGCAATGGAAACTATAGTCGGCCCCCTTAAATTAGTGTTTAGCGCAATTTTAATGATACTATTCAAGAAGGTGTTATTAAACTTCATATGTTGATACATACTAAAGAGAGCTATTCACCTGCATCACCATTTTTGACCTTGATCTTTCCTTTGACCTTCATCACACTTTATGTTTAGCTCAGTTTAAAAAAAAAACCATATAAGATATTTTTATCAAACTTCATACAGACAGACATAATGGACTCCTACAGGAAGGTTTGGTCATGATGCACATGCATGCACGTGCATGCACATGCAATGAGTAAAATTAAGAATACACTTGATTTAGGGTATTTTTGAATACTTTTTGATTAGATGCCTTAATATTTGGTGCGTTAAAATATATTGATAGTGTAGATAAAATGATATGGTCATTTCGCATATGTTTGCACGGGCGCTCACATGCACTGCGAAAATTTGCGATATACTTGGTATACTTAGGAAAAACGTTGTTTGTCTTATTAAATAAGATTAGAGGGAATGAGGCACCAAAAGGAAGTTGGGGGAGCGTTTGGGGAACATCTGTAACGGTTCCCGTTACAATAAGCCGTAGTTGATTGTATGATTATACTTTGTTTACTTTTTAATAAATAAAATATTTGAAATGTATAATCGACTCAGTATAGCCAGATTTTTGTATATTTGTCGGGGAACAATCGTAGCTCAAAACGTGTTCTATCTTGATCCTGATCGTGAAAGATGAAAGACATTGCAATGAACGTGGTATTCTATCGCACAGCACAAGAGTGTGCAATGAACGTATTATATCGCAGGAGTACGTATTAAAACGTAGAAGATCGTTTCTAATCGAGAACTCGGATCATGATATTCGTGACAGATCGAGGCCTTTTTATCAACTAAATCTTGATCATCCTATTGGAGCGTAATTCATCTTATCTAAACGATAGTCTGATCGTCAGAGATCGCATCACATGAAATTTATTCATCGTGGCCATCGCGCATAAAGGCGTAACGAAACGTATGAAAACGCACCTATGCGCATCTCTTCGTATCTTGGCATAAAATTCATTAACAACTCTGCGATCAACTACAATTGATCAATCGTGACGTGCGTAACTGACTGCACGACAGTGGGAACGTAGCATAACGATTTCCTGAAACAGTAAAAGACTTTTTTGTTATATTCAAGACACATTTTTTTCTCATCCTTATAAACTAACTGACTGAAGCAACTTCCAACAAATACTTATTAACGAAACGGCGAAAACTGGATTAAAAGTAAAGTTTCAATCCATTTTTAATGAAATAAAGAAACTGAAATAACAGGCTTTCTTAGGTGACTGTGAAAGGTAACTCTCAAGGACCTTCTTGCTTAGTTTCTTCGTCTTTCGAGAGGAGATTCCATTGCTTCTCCAAGACCTGTAAAGAACATAGGTTATGCTTTAAAACTACATAGTACTGTAAAATCACATATATTTGTGGGGTAAAAATTTTCGAGATTTATGGAAAGAAAATTGGTTTGTGGGGATTTGATTTCGAAGGTGGAAAATGTTTTATAGTAATGCATATAATTTTTTTTCACTTTGTGGTGGTCATAAATTCATGCGGTTTCTCTATACCCCGAAAACAATGAAAACTAAACCCTCACGAGAGTTTTATTTGTGATTTCACTGTCATTGAATATACATTAAAACCCGTCTTATGCGACATTCACTGGGAGACAATGTAGTAATGTAATGAAATACATGAAGAAATCGAACAGTATTTAAGTACAAAGGTCAATTAAACAATACAAAATAGAAACAGAGAAAATACAGATCTCCAAAACAACTATCAAAATAGTAAAATGATAATGAAAAATAAAGATCAGAAACGAAATACGGAGTTTTCAGTCAGGTTGGCTGTTTAAAAGAAAAAAAAGGACAAGGTCACTCTTGTTATTACTTAACCTTTCTTTTACACAACGCAAAAGTAGTAGAGCACTTATTTTTATGAAATATTTTTAACATGTTACATAACATGCAAGATCGTAAATCAAAATAAATGGATTCAGATTATTTCAAAAAACGAAAACATAAATAACCCTATCAGTGATCAAAGCCTAAAAGTGCTTCAACCCTCATATTTTAAGGGTTCAGAATGTTAAATATACATTAATATCCACTTGATATCATTTAATATAATTAATAGTCACAAAAATGTTAAATCACCCCCTTTTTGAAGATGTCAGACACAATAAACACATCTTAGCCTACCTCATACTATAAAATTCATCAATTTAAAAAATTAAACATTAAAAAATTAAACCTGTATAATAAAGAAAGTTTTTGAATATAGATTCTTTTTCTGACATTTTCTAATAAATTTATTTTAATGTTTTAAAAACATTTATTTGCATATTCATATTGACTTAATATCATGATTTTGAGAAAAATCTATGAAATAACATGAGAGTAGAAAAAATGAAATTCATCGATTCTCTCTTAGAAAACATGGTTTGAATATGTAGGTAAATAAATAAATATACTTAAAGTATTTAGACCTGAAAATAAATTCTTTTGAATAATATCACACTTTATATCATGATTTGATTGATTTCAATAATAAATCACCTTTAGAAAGAAGACTGAACATTGTTGAAAATAAGTTTATAAAATACAACATATGCAATTTATAGAAAAAAAGTATATTTCCAGCTTGCTCTTTGAAAAAATTAATACAATAGCTGTTGATAAAATGTAAATACTTGCCTCCATCCGTTTGTTCATTTCTTGGCAGTATTTATCTATCTGGAAATTTCTTTTCTCTATTGTCTCTATTCTAGCATTTTCCCTTTTTAATTCCTTTATATAATCAATCCATCGCCTGAGTATGGAAAGAGAATCTTGTTCCATATTCCTATAAAGTTCAATGTCAAATGCAAGAATAAGATGAAAGCTAATTAAAATTTTAAAGTTATCATTTCGTAAGTTCTATGGTCGATACAATGACCTTGTCAGCAAATACAATTTATCATTGAGTCAAATGCTGACTGACGTTTTTCATACCAATTGTTAGTCTATTATTTATACACTGAATTGACGACGGATTTTTTCCGTTGTTTCCTGATCATGACAAGGAGAACACGGCGGGTGTGACCGGTTGGCTGGGGATGCTTACTCCTCCATGGCACATGATCCCACCTCTGATGTTTCGGGGGTCCGTGTTTGCTCTGCTCTTATTTTGTATTGTTTTATGGACTTTGAGATTGAATACTGTTCGTTATCTCCATATCCTTCCTTAGACAAAGATTTGATGTTAATATTTTCTCAAATTTTCTGTGTAGTTTCACAGTGACTTAAATTATGCTATCGAAAAAAAAAATCTTATTTTTTTCTGGAAGTCATTGAAAGTTCGAAATTCTAGAACATCCTAACACTTTCTCAAATTTAACTTTATTCTTAATACTTGAGAAAAGTATGTGTATTAATGAAAAATATTAAAACCAGAATCCGGAAAATTCAGAGTAAAAATGTGCGAAAGCAAACCCATTCACTAGTATTGTCAGTCCGTGCTCAATGTTGTGTACAGAGTTACACAAATTGAACACATTTGTGAAACGTACACTGTTTTTGTAAACAGGGCACGAGCTATATTTGTTGCTAATGTTAACTTTCACCATGTGTGTTAAATGTTTAACTCTTCACACACCGTTCCACATCATATCCGTGTCTAAGCACAATTACAATAATCATAGTGACATTCTTTTTTATATAGGGCTATAGGGTTTTGTTTTGTTTCATGTTCAAATTTTTTGTACATGTAGATTTTGTCTTTTTGTGAAATTGTTACTTTTAAACATATTTTTATACAGGTACAAATTCCAAGAAATGTACATGTACAGAAGACAAAATTATAGGTCGTGTATTTTTTCGTGTAATTTTATTTAGAAAGGCTGATATTGGCCATCATAGAGAAGGATAATAAAGCATGGATAAAATATGTGGAGAAAATTACGTTCTTGTTGTCTTTTTTTTTATTTTATATTATATGTTTTTTATTTCTTCATTTTGAAATTAATGTATTCATGATATCAATGAAGCAAGAGTTTTTGGTCTTGCATTTTTTTTTTTCAAGAATGTAAAAAAAGCCTTTTGGTAACATGCGATTAATGTTAGCAAGCCAAGAAATGTTAAATACTCGTATACTTAATTCTTTTTTTTACTGAAATTCAAATGTAAATCCAAGAATTATATAGACAACTTGTATGCATTTTAAAAATTTCTAAAAACTTACTAGTATCAATACGTGTAAAAATTAAATTGCTGTGCTCTACTCACTACTTATTTCTAAAAAAAATATTTTTATTCAAAAAAATCTTGTATGAATTTCTTTTAAAATAAGCAGATAAATATTAATTAAAGTTATTGATGAAAATTCTCTGTATTTCATATATTGATGATAAGATAAACTATTTTTTTGTTTAGAAATTTAAAATGTTGCTAAAGAGAAAAAAAAGAAACCTACCAACAGCCAGTAAGTTGAAGAATTTTTGCAATTTGTTTAATTTCCTTGTCAAATCTGTGGCTTTTCAACACCCCTTCAAAAAATAAAACAGTTCCTGTTTGTATCTTGCATAGAAATACTTTTAAAATAAGACCCCATTCTTGATAAGTTTGTTTTTATTTTCTATAAATCATATGTCTATGTCATATTGTATAAAAAAAAATCAGAATCAGAACTTTTTTTTTTCATTCCTTAAAAAAGTGACTTTGAAACCGATTTAGGTGTTAAAATTTTTTCTCTCCATATTTTTCTTTCCATCGAAAAGAGACAATTTGATAAATTTGAAATCACTTCAAAGAACAGTGATTTGATATTGTTTGTTAAAAAATGAAAATAATATCTTATACATTTAAATGTGCTTCAAGTAGGAATTCCGACAAAAATTTAACTACACATGGTACTCGTTTTGCTGTCACAATGATAAATATTGTATTTTAATATCTGCACATTTTCTACATTTACTGTTAGATGTGTACGCGATAATTGTGAAAACAATCATTCTCTTATTTAATTTTTCATTTGAACCTAAATGTGACGCGCCAAGTAAAAACCTCCCTTATCTCTATTATGACGTAACGTCAAAAGACGCGTCTAAAGTCAACAAGGTAATTGCGACGTAAAAACGTCTCCTTGAGAGAAACTCTCCCCAGTAGAACCATGGAATGTTGTTATATTTATATGCTAAGACAGATTCTTGGGTGTAATTTGATGTAGTTTATTCATTAAGAACCAAGTCTCTGTCAACTGTCTGTGTGATCTTTTCTTTTCACAATTAAGTGCGTATTTTTGAAGTATTTCCAGTGGTGGCTGAAAAATTCCCGTAAGTCCGTTTTTAAAATGAAGTTTGTTTGCCCTCTCCCTATTCTTGTAAAAAAAATTGCATCGGTAGTTAGGTCGAATTTTTTTTGTCAGAAATTTTCAGTGTTGAAAAAGAGTGAAGGCATTTCTGAAATAAAAAAAAGTTGTTGATAGGATGAGAAAATACTGGTGAATAATTTGGAAATTTTAAAAAGATTTTAGTCGGTCCATTTTAAAAGGTCACATAAACAAGTTTTTAAAAATAGTTTTCTTTTTAAATTTAATGTCCAGCTGTTTCATCGTGATGCACATGCAAGAAAAATTTAACAGGAGCATTAAACTAAGGTATTTTTTTAAAATAGCGATGCAATGAAAATTTGACCTGAATTACTTCTCTTTTATTCATGGAATGAATTTAAAAGCTATCCAATTGACACGGTATAAACTGAGTTGGAACAGTTAACGCTGCCATTTATATAAATAAAACGTGAACTGTTACATGTATTGATAAATAGTTAAGTTTAGTTTTTAAAAAAAGTACTGTCTATAGATACGACACGGAGTATTTGATTTGGACACTTCTTCCGGAATTAGTTTTAGCCATTGATTTAAATTGAATATTTTGAAGAAAGACCTTTTGAGCTTCTCAATTTATTTTATATACAGAAATGTATGTCATGTTATACATCAAATGAAAGAGAAAGAAAAACTCTACAAGAATCAATAAAAAACTGAAAATGTCAAAATTCTTCGTTAAGGGAGGTTTTTGCTTGGCGCTTCACATAATACTTAATTAAATGCCAGAACCCATCTTTAAGATTTAACTTAAAAGAATATAAATGTTTTTTTTTCTTTTAAAGTATTAGCTATCAAAAAGTATTTGTTTGATTTCACCTAAATTTACCTTGTATACGTACCTTTTTTGTTTTCCTTGTTATGTTTTCCTTTTAAATATCTCGTCATTTAAATGTTGTAACACCTTTTCCTCATCTGCAAATGTGATTTAAAGTTTCTTACTCAACTGGGTTTTCTTTGAAACGAATACTTATGCATTAATAAAACATCAATATGGGAAACATATGGCCGCCCTCATTTTAACCAACAAAAGGAAAGTGCTCCAAATGCAAACAAAAAATGCCCCGAGCAATGCAATGCGCAGATAAAGAAAACCCAGTGACACAGTTACTTGTTTTAATTTGTTGTCAAAAGCAATGAAGTAATGTGACAATTTCTTGGTAAGTTTTAACCTTTAAAATTCATCCAAGTTTTGCATTGGAATCTAAATAAGGGTGATTAATTTAGTTTTCTTAAAGCATAATTTTATCTTAATATCAGACGGTCATGATAGATGAAATTATATATGTATATATGTACATTTATTTGTTGAAGTTTAGTTATAAAATAAAAATTAATGACCTATGTATGTTTTCCTTTTTCAATTTAAAATGTCTATTTAAAAAAAACAAACAACTTTATGTATATTTGTGCAAGGATGAGTTAGATACCTTATGTATTAATTTGAGTTGTAACACGTCATTTGATTGGTTTTACCCATTTTGTATAACATAACTTGCCTACGTCACAATAAGTTACGTCAAAAACGTATTACTCCGCTTGCCGTTAGTTTAAAATATGCTATATTTGAAGCCTTTTTCCGAAGAAAAAATGGAAAAATTGTCTCATTGTCTACATTGAAATTAAGTTATAAAGAATGAAGCTTATTTCAACTTATGTTATATGATATAACATTACTTGGGGCAGTTTACGCTTTTTTTATAAACCGCGAAGCATGATGATACAAACAAACAGAAAAAGTGGCTGCCTGGATTGATGAATATTGCTTTTTAACTTAATATCAGTGCACATAAACTTATTCATTTTATTTAGATAAAGACAATTTCAGTTGTTATTTTTACAGATATTTGATATAAATTTGTTTGTATCATCTATCCTAAGTAAAAGAGCAATAAACTTTACCTTGACAGTGTCATACTTGAAATATCCAGTTCAAACATGGCAGAAAACGCAAATGCGTTTAAACAGTTTTTGATGCATTGGATATGACAAAAATCTTTCATCGGAGGGGCGTATAAAAGGAAGATTCGATGATACCTGAATTTAAACTGCCCTATAAAAATGCAGAATGACAAAGTATATAAATTCTTATATATTGACAGAAAACATGTTCACTAATAAAATTAAAGATTCTCCCATTTGTCCCATTAAAGATTGTCCCATTTCTGAGGTAATGAAATGCAATAAAAATGGTTCATAAAAATAGCATATTAGACAATTCAATTGAGAAAATAGAGTTCGTAAACAACATTAGGATCAGCAAATGAAAATTTGAATTCCGTTTATATGATTTAAAACAAGTAACATTATCGCTAAAATTAAATTTCTTTCTAGGTTTTTCCTAAATTCAAAATTACATTTCATAGTAAATTCGTTTGAGTCGGTTTTGGACAGGAAATTTCAAAAGTTACCGCTCCCTTGGTTGTTTACGATTAGAGAAAATTATTTTTAATCAATGAACTACATTCTTCTTGATTTCAAAAAAGTTAGCTCAGTCTAGCTGTCAAATGTCATTGACTTTTTCTTTTAACCGTTAAACACGCACCTAAAGTAATTTTGTTTGAATAACACGTACATGTCAACAATTTTTTTGAAGCCATTGACCCGAAAAACTGTGATTTTTCTAAGACTTAAAAATCTGTATTTTTTAATTTTGATATTTTTTAATGAAATAACCTGTCGTTTAAAGGGGCTGGGGGTTATGGCTATTTTCAGACTATTTTGATCTCCTTTAGAAGAAGAGCTCCATATAAAGATATATAAAAATTGATCAAATTTCAAAAGTAAAATGTATGAGATTTTTCTTAGCCAAATAATAGTTGATAGCTTAAGATAACATATCTAAAACTTAAGCTATATCTGATGGTTAAATTGTTGACCGCCCAGCCTCCTTAATTTTAGTTTAAAAAAACCAAAACTTAATTTTTTAATAATGCAAATCTGTTAACAGGGCATAAATCATGAACCTCCCAGAGCTGGAATCAGATTTTAAGGAGGAGAAAGTATTTGTCTGTGGACCGATCATATCAGGCACTAGCCCTATGTACTGATAAGGTATAAAAAAATCTCAATTCCAAAAAAAAGTCAGCTTAGCCTAGCTGTCATATTTCATTGGTTTATTCTTTTAACAATTTAACCTTCAAATAATGTCATCTTTTTAAAGTACATGTCAACATTTTTATAGAGGATCTTAAACTTGAAAACTGAATTTTTTCTAATACTTAAAAAATGTGTGTATTTTTCAATTTAATATTTAATATGGAAAAAGATGTCGTTAATTTTAGTAAAAAAATACCCCTCAATTTTTTAATACAATGTAATTGCAAACCTGCTAAGAGGGCATAAATCATGAACCCCCAGAACTTGGAGTTCAGAATCAGATTCGATCAATATCTGAAAATTAATATAATATATCAGTCGATAAAACTTTACAAAAGCAATAAAATCTATTCAACAAAAGAAATTGCTTTTAATTATGTAAAGAACATCTTAATACAATTCAAAATATGTGTATAAATAAGTAGTTAGTACACTTTATATGGTGATAAGACGATAAAATATAAAACGAGTATATTCAAATTAATAACACAGCAAGCGTAGAGAATTTTACGCTTCCGTATTTATAACGCTTACATGTAACATGTTATCCATGTACAGATTGAAACGAGCATTTTTTGTGATTCAAACAAGTAATTAATCCAAAAAAAGTTATGTAATATCACACGTATTTGATAATTGTGTAAAGTATTCGAGACCATAAAACTTTTCAATCATGGAAAACCCTGACAATTGTATACTAGTCATTCCAAAAAGTGCACCCATTTAAAGAAAATTGTATCTCTTACAACAAAACGGTCATTATTTGACTTGTCAATTTATATAATCCGTGATAAATTGATGCAAAACTCATTTTCATAGTGTGGTTTTTTTCAGCTTGGCCTGTCACATATTTTCACGAAATTGATTTAGTTGTTTTTTTTGTCACAAAATTTATATCATTAGTAGTAACATATGTACATGTAAGTCCTTATAGACAAATTAGAAATTAAAAATGCGGTTTCATTTGCAATAATATCGTATTTATATGATGTTTACATTTTGCAAAGTAATTTATAAAAATTGTCTTTTCGGGAAAGAATTTTAATAACATTTTTATCCAAATGAATTATTGGATCAACCATAGTCCTTTTCTTCATCTGACTTAGTCACATTAAAAAAAATTGACAACAAAAACAGTTTAAGATCACTTTGCTTAGTCAATTATGTTATCCTTCTGCACTCAATAAATGTTATTTTTCTGTTTTCAAAAATTTAAAAATCAATAAAATCATTTGAAAGTATGAAATTTTTTCTGAATGTTAGAAAAGGGTTAAAATTATCATATCCCAAGAAAACGACATAAAAAGTGGGGGTCTGTGATGTTACGAGGGGTGATCGCGAACTATCTCTATATTTACATCTATAGTCATGCACATGTGCTATAAACAGCAAATGAAGAGTAATGATTTTCTCAATCATTGTGACGTCACAATGTGAAAATGACGTCAATATGTAGGTGACTCGTGACGAAAATTGTTGTTTCAGTCTTACTCGGGCAATGAAGTGCTGTAAAGTTTAACGTTTAACTTGGAAATTCCTTTGAAGTATCTTAGTATAATTTGTACGAGGTTTATGAAGACAATAGTCTTTCCAGACGTTCAAGCATAAATTGTATTGATTGTTTAAGGGAAAGGAGGGAGATTGTTAAAAATGACCTTTGTTTGGAAGCCCAGCGAAAACAAGCTAGGGAAGAGATGTGTCCTTTGTTAGGCATTTTTTTTATATGAAAGACTGCGAAGTTACAGCTAGAAAAATAATTGAATATCTTAACAATGATATTGTTATTAAATCCTTAAAATATCGTTTAATAAAGAATTTTAACATATCAAATATGATAAAAAAAAGCCCCCCTCACTTGTTTCCATATTGCATGAACGACTTTTCTAAGACAGAGAACTTGGGTTGTGATGTCACCATGTTCTTTCTTGGAAAGAATGTCCTTATCCAACCATCCTATTTCCGATATTTGGTCATTTCTAACAAACGGACTGTTCTTGTTATAAAAATCAACTTGCAGGGTAAGGAATATAAGATTCTGACATTTTTTTTTAGCTTCTATGAACAGAGTGCCCCAAAGCATGTCACGTGACCGCCTGGATCACGTGATTCGCGCGTGGGCAGAACGGTGACAGATATGCATTAAATTCAGAGAGGGCTACTTTAAAATATATTGTACATTGAAACCTAATCTTATTTGTTTTACGGAAGTTCTTCAATTTGTTCGCGAACTTTTTGATCACCCTTTGTAATTTTTAAATATTACTAAAATAGTGCTAATTTTAAGCTTAAATTGAGCTAGTTTTCAAAGGACTATCATGATATATTTGCCAAATATGGTGATAGAATTCATGTCAGTTAATTTAATATAAAATTTTTGACCAGCATAGAATATTTCACTGCATGAATTTGTTCTGTGTGCAGCCTGCATGCAAAAATAGTCAGCAAAACTTGACAATACTGAATTCTTTGAACGAGGAAAATTGATTTTTTTTTTCTAAAAACCCTTCCGCCACAAAATATAGTTTCTCACTTACTGTTTTCGGTATGGAATTTGATCATGGGGTCTTAATTGAATGTAGTTTAATTAGCATTTTAGAATCTAAATTTATTGTAAGAACTAAAAAATTATGTAGGTTTTTTAAATTAGAGACCAATATATAAATCTGTTGAAAAGCTGAGGAGCGAACCTCGTTGATAAAATATACCCAGTTTCTTATTTTTTTTAAATGAATCTTTTAACCATGGGTACTGTTATGGATAAAGAAATATATTCTTTCATTTGAAAAAAAGTTGTCTTTCATTATAGAAGAGCAATTTGAAGAGCATATTACATACATATTAAACATATTGCATATATGCACAATTAAATAAAAAGTATACACGTATTAGTGTCATTTAACTTTAGATGTTCAAGTTAGTGTGCTTTATATAATTAAAAATCAAATTGAAGCCTTTTTCTAAGCTTTATTTATTCATGAAACGCCATTTGACATTGACAGAAATAATGCGTTTCGTAACTCCAAAATGAATATCATTAATATGTTAAAAAATCATTATAAATACAAAACCATTTTTATCATAATTAGTGAGAGATTAATTTGATTAGGAACCGCCTGCAAAGTGTAACACGTTTAAAATTCAATTCATGATCTGTACAAGTAGATAAATCAAGAATGTTTGTATTATGTCTTATAGCATTACCTTTTTTGCTGTTATAAATTGCTTCTATCATAATCCATGTTTTCAAAGAAATTTCTGAATTTGATTTTAGAATACCAAATGACAAAAGGATGAATTATGCTTGTTTTGAGTATTAAAGAACTCAGTTTGATATATCATATGGAATTTTTCTTTTCCCTCTGCATTTTATAGTACAATAATAAGAATTACAGAAATAAAATAATTTAAAAATCTAAGAATTGAAAAAAAAATTAAAATGCTTGGATTTCTGAATATATAAAAAGATTTCATTACGTAATGTTTGAAAAGTACTACTTGGGAAATGAAAATATTGAATGCTAACATTCTTATTTGTAGAAAAAAATAAGTTAAATTAATTTAAATAATACAGAAGGAACATCACAAACGTGTCCATATTTTCTGGTATACGTCCTTGTAAAAATATGAAATACCGGTTATAAATTACAAAAATTCATTGCTTTCTATAAGTTAAGTGAAAATATTTTGGAAATGTTACAAAGTTAAGGATCGTTATTATGAATCTAATGGGGATATGATATAATAATACAGCAAGAATGGAACTTAATTCATTTTTGGCGCACATGTACATGTCTCTTCTTCTTTTTTTTTTATAAATATATATTTAAAATGGTCTGGAAGAAATTATTCCATTTTTCAAAGAAAATTAATAAAGTAAATTTAATAACTTAAA